ATAGTTTATCCCTTTAAACATCTATAAACATTCAAAAGGATGCTTGTGTTTGAACACATGAATTTATAAAACTTTCATGTAAGTCTCCAGTTAAAACTTTTGTCTCGACTTTAATTTTTTGCTAAAACAAGAAAAAAGCCATAACTTCCTGACTCTTTAATTATATATATATATATATATATATATATTTGTTTCAGTCAGTTTATGGACCCTGCACATATCGATAATTTAAGACTAAACAGATGAAATGGTGGGTAACCAACAGGCCAAATAAATGGGTGCAATGAACCGAGTCTGATCGATTTGATGTAAAATATGACGTCACATTCTCAAACAGGGATGAGTGCAACATTTATGTCTTTTAATAATAAACACAGTTTCAACAGTGAATGTTAAATCTCACCATTCCACAACAATTTGTCAAATGCAGCTCTGCCCCTGTCCAAGATGTCCTTGTATCGTTGGTATTCTTCGTTTTCATCCAAAAGTCTGGCCATTTTACTCATCACACACAGGGACGCCAGCCACAGCCCACCACAGTATGCACTGTACCAAATCAAACAATATAAATCTTCAAATGTCATTTCTCTCTGAAATAGTTGATGATCAAATGTCCTGATCAAGATTTTCTACATGTGTTTGACTCAATAAAGCTGAAGCCGTTGTAGTGAACTAAGCCTCCGGTCAAAACCTGCCTCTGAAGACCTTCATGGGACAGGAACTGTTATTTCATTGATTTGAATCCAGAAATACAACTTAGCTCATCCAGAGACTTTCTAATTGTATCCTGAACTAATCAATTGAAAGAACACTCTCTTTTTTATATTATCATTAATATTTTACAATGTCTTGATAATCAAAAGTGTGTTTAGTTCAAATCATTTTAAATGTTGAAATGAACCACTCATTTTAAATCAACTGTGAAACAGTATTAATGATTTTTTTTTTTAATCCTCATTCAAAGTAGAAATCAAGTTAAAATGTCTGTTACAAAGTAATTATGCATTTTTTGATCTTCTGTCTGAAATGAGAAAGAGTGATGTCGGTCAAAAGTCGGAGACAGTCGCAAACAAGTTTATTGGAACGAACTGTCATGTTTTTAAACCTCTCAGACAGAAACAAGAAAAGCTGGCACCTGTGGGTCTGTCATTTCCCCAAAACATTTCTCTGTCTGTTCCCAAACATCTCCGCTGTTTTTCTGACTTGTAGTAACCTCTGACGTCACTAAAACCACACCCCTGTTGGTTCTTTCAACCAATCAGGACTTCCCAAAAGGGACCGGAAGCAGAACTCTTTAAAAGTCGACACTTCCTAGTTCCAGTTAGTTCTGGGGAGAGAACAGAAGTTCCATGGAGAACAGAAGTTCCAAAAGTTCAGAACAGAGAGTACTGCTGGAGAAGGTGAAGTCCACGGTGGTCTTTTCCTGAAAGATGACACCTGTCTGGAGTGTTGATTCAGGTCATCACGCCAAAGACCTATTCAACATCTCAGGAGTTCAGCACGTTTGCTGAAATTCCACTTAACTTAATCCTATCTTTCGGGGAAGTTTATTTTGGAAGCTGGGCCAGTCAGCCTCGTGGTCCCAAGTTGATGAGAAGCGGATAAATCCCTGGAGATAAAACGACTCAGCCTTGCTGGACGCCAGGAGAAGGCCTCTCTGAAACCCCACCAAGGTAAAGAGTCGACGCTCGGGTACCATCTAGCTGAAATCACCGGGAAACGTGCTATCTGGTTTCAAACAAGATAACTCCCCATCTTTTCTTTATTATCTTAGTTAACCCTAAGTATCCACTTTCCCTTCTTAAACTTTACTCCATCTCTATATTTCTCTGCCAGTAAAAAGATAAGCTAAAGTCTGCAGACATTAATTTAAGATCTAAGGAAATGTCTGTTGTTTTTATTAAGTAAAACGTGCCAAGTTTTATTAATCAGAGCCGATCAGAATAATCAAGTGTACAATGTTTTGATGTTAAATTTTGATTCTGTTAATAAATGACCACATTCATTTTGATGGGTCAAAGAAAATTAACGTCTCATGTCACTGATTAGACCATCTCCAACACAGTACCTCTGTCACATATCTGTCAAGTAGCTCGAAAAAGAGAGAACCCGTTATTAAATATTGATTGTAGTGGAGCTCCTAAACTAACACTGAAGCTAACCTAACCCTATCTCACTACACCGTCACCCTCTGGATTTATTACATCATATTAGATGAAAATATTTAAGAATTAAAGGCCTACGCCACCTCCCACTTTCACACCAGAATTTTAAACAACATTTATTTTATGTAGAAGAAGTTACAAAGTTGTAGCAAATCTTAAAATTAACAATACATGCAATATTGAGAGATCTTGAGCCAAAATGACTCTCAGCTACTACCACATCAAACTTTAGTTCATTATCTGTAAAAACTGACAGTTATAGCTAAATGCGTGTTAGCAAAGGTCAACTAAATGTGGTGGCCATCTTGAATCAAATTGACGTTAAAAGTTAATCAGTTGGAGATGTGTATTCAATACAATAATTATTTTCTAGAGTAATTTTCATTAAAATCCATCTAATGGGTCATGAGAAATTTTGCTAACAGACAGATAAACACAGACATTTTCATGATCACCTGCCTCTCATGGCAGCAGGCACTGAAGAAAACGACACCAACATTCATTTTGTTAGTTTGTTTAAAACAGTGGTTCCCAACTATGGTCCCTGAGGAACACCATCCTACATGTTTTAGTTGTTCCTCTGCTCCAACACACCTGATTTGAATGAAATGGTGACTAACAGGCTTCTGCCAAAATTAAGGAAGTAATTAAACCACTGAATCAGGTGAGGTGGAGCTGAGAAACAACTAAAACATGCAGGACGGTGTTCCTCAAGGACCAGGGTTGGGAACCACTGGTTTAAAAGATTGATTTAATATTTTGGCTCATTTTCACTGGTTCTGTTGCAGTAAAACATGCCTCACCTTGGCCCAGTTACTGTCCAGCCGTCGTATGTCTGATCAGCATATCCCGAGTTTTCTATCAGTCCGTCTCCATCCTGATCGAACTTCATCTCCGACTCGATCACAGCCTAACAGACCAAAGGTCAACAGAGTACAACAGCTTAAAGCAGCTGGAACATTACAAGATTAACAAACTCACTACAGCTGATTAAAGTTATTTGTGACTAAAATTTAGAAATATTTTACCCAACCATTAACATTTTTTAAAAATAAAAATAAAAATCTATTAAAAGTTCATAGAGAAGACTTTCTAGACTGTTCTGTCAAACAGGTAAATCAGTCATACCTGACAGATGGGCCACATCTCCTGCAGGTACTGTCTGTCCAGAGTCAGGTGAAAGTCCCTGTAGACCTGCAGGACAAACTTCAGGTTCAGGTCCTTCCAGTCTGCCGTGTCATGGATGAGGTAGGCATTCACCCTCTGCCAAGGCTCATCGTCTACAAACACACATTCAGGACATGATGATAAAAATGCTGACGTGTCCAGGACATATTTTGTCAATTTGTCGATCATCCTGCAGTCATCCTAGTTGGCTGTGCTGCAAGTCTCACATAAGGCCGCTACACTTGGCATCACAACCAGGCATTAAGGAGCCCTGCCATAACATTGGAGGCCTGATTTATGTCCTGCCTCCTCCACAACCCTATCTGATACTGGCCACAGATTTCATTCACAAAAGACAGCAATAAAAACAAATCCTTAATCACTGTCAGATCAGACCTGGGCTGGCTGGGAGGGGCATGTGATGGGAGTGAGCAATGGACATGAATCACAGGTTGAACGTTCAAGCAGAAATTTCTACTACTAATCTCAAACTAGACCATGCAGTTTGCTCGTCTTCTCTGCATGCTGTTTACATCATAAAGCTTGTAGTGCCATGGGAAGACTCTATGGAAGAAGCCAGTGAAGGCAAGAGCCTGAAGTATAATGAACTGGAAGCTGATGCTGGTCAACATTGGTGGAAATACAGTCTGTCCAGTAGAAGTTGGCAGCAGACGCTTTGTTGGAAACTCATCTTCCAGGCTGCTTAGAGACATGGGGATTGAAGGCCAAGTCCAGCGACTAGACACTAAGACTGCTGAATTAGCAAGTTGATGGATACGACTGAAGGACAAAGTGTGAAAGAACAGATGTCAGTAGGGAGCAGAAAGCTGAGAGGGGCACACTTGGAACACCTGGAATAGCTGATGAGCCCTCTAAAGGTGTTGTGGGAAAAACCAGTGAACAAAGGTGCCCACCTGATGACACTGATGAAGCTTTGCAACTTTCCTTAACATTCATATATATTGTGATAATATTCCTTTAATTGCTAGTTCAGTTCTAGAAAACTGAGTTATGAACAATGTCAAAGACAAAAATAATTATTTTGGGCGACTTTTGTATTTTTATAGTATTGTGGCGCAGTTGATAGAGCTGCTGCCTCTCAGAGAGAAGGTTGCTGGATTAAATCCCGGCCGGGGAGCCTTTCATGTTCTCTCCGTGCATGCTTGGATTTTCTCCGGGTGCTCCGGTTTCATCCCACAGAAACAAAAACGCATGTTCAGCTGATTGGTAACTCTAAATTGTCCCTAGGTGTGAGTTAGAGTGTGAATGGTTGTTTTTCTCATTTGTCTCTATGTGTCCCTGTGATGGACTGGAGATCTGTCCAGGGTGTCCACGAGAAGCACCAGTGACACCCATGACCCGAAAACGAAGAAGGGTAAAAGATAATGGATGGATGGATAATGTTGGCATTATCGTCACCTACAGGCACAACCAGGGTATTTTCACATTTTCCTTGGCATTTCCGTTTCTTATTCAAATGGAGATAATTTCTTTCAAATGGATGAAACAAAATTAGTTTAAAAGGTTAATCTGGAACAGTTTAATCAGGGCTTACGCTTAATAAGGTCTTTTAATGAAGACCGGCAATGTATAACATCATTTCTGAACTCCACTCGCCTCAGCGGTCGCCGTTCTCTTACCTGGGTCTCCTATGTCATGAGGAACCACATTTTTGGTCTTGACAGGAGAACAATGCCCACTCATCAGATGAAGCCTCTCTGTCAGGTCTTGCTGAACCACACTGCCAGCTGTGGGGAGAATAAAGGTGTGAAAATTGCCTTTGTTGCAACTTTTTGTTGGAAAAATCAGAACACCCCCCACACACACACACAAAAGTTTACTCACCAATATCATATTGCAAACTCAGGGCTAGTTTGGGCCACAGCATGATGAGTGCAAAGGAGGCGTAGAAGTGCACATCATATGTGTTGTACATTCTATACTCTTGACCTGGAAAGGAGTTAAACAAAAAACTAAATATGAATATTAGTGCAAGTTTCTTGGGTTACGTTTGTGATTTTCTTGAATGAAATAAAACAAGTCAAAGTTCATAGCTCTGCAGACTAACACCCTTTCATCATACCTTCTAGGTAAGCAAAACGTCCGTACTCCTTGACGACAGCAGGCTGAGCGGGCAGACCCCCGTTCTCGCTGCGCACCCCCCCACTGACATCAGCATCCTTTGGTAGCTCTATCCACACGGTTCCTCCATCCGCCACAAAGTACAACTCGTTGAACAGAGCCGACTTATACCAAGATGGAAGAGAGCTGTGACGAAAGAACAGACTGAGTAAACATGAAACAGAGCTTGATTGAGAGCTGTGATGACCGTACCTGTCCTGTAGTATGGGTTTCTGCCACTCCTCGATGCTTCTCTCCCACTGTTTGTAGTGCGTTAGTGCGTAATGACTGAGCGAAGGTGACGCGTCACCGTTAGCCCCAAAGTAACGAGTATATCTCCTGCAAAAACAAAAAAAAAGAGAAGCTGATGGAGGTACATAACTTCTGAAAGAAAAAAAAAACTGTTTGGTTTGAGTAACAATACAAGATAAGTTTGATTACAAAAAAGTAAATTTTCTGCTTTAGTCTTAATAAATCTTACATACACATAATCTTGATCTGAATCAATGTGAAACTAAGATGAAGTAGTTAAAACTATTTGCAGCTAAACTCAAATTATTGGTAAAAAAAATTAAGGTAACAAAACTGGTTATCTTTGCATAAGAGCCACGACTTCTCCTCCTCCACCATAACCCTCAGCAAGGGTTCCCCCAAGGGCTGTGTGTTGAGCCCCCTCCTGTTCACTCTGCTAACGTATGATTATGCACTAACCCATCCGGGCTGTCATATTGTAAAGTTTGCAGACAATACAGCAGAGGTGGGATGCTTCAAAAGCAATGATGAGTCCAGATACAGGCAGGAGGTGGAACACCTGGAGAACTGGTGCAGGAAGAACCTTCACATAAATGTGAATAAGAGGAAGGAGATGGTGATAGGAGGATATGCAGTGGAAGTGGTCTCCAGCTACAAGTACTTGGGTGTACACCTGAATGACAACCTCAGCTGGAGCAACCACACCACCAGCCTGATCAAGAAAGCTCATCCGAGACTCTACTTCCTCAGGCGGCTGAGACGAGCTGGTCTGGGAAGCTCAGTCCTCACCTCCTTCTACAGGTGTGCAGTGGAGAGCATCCAGTGCTCCAGCATCAATGTGTGGCATGGAGGCTGCACAGCTGCAGAAAGAAAAGCTTTGCAGAGAGTGGTGAAGGCTGCACAGAAGACTGTTGGAGTCAGCCTCCCTTCCATCACAGACATCTACACCTCCAGATACAGGAAGAGAGCCGCCTGCATCATGAAGGACCCCACACACCCATATTTGGTGTACAGTGCAGTATGTGTCAGTTGCATTTCCACCTTTGGTAAAGCAACTTGCCATCAGATCTTTGGTACCTTAAGTGTTCCCTCTCTTTTGAGCCAAATGTTATTTTGGGCATGTCCCAGGTCAGGCAGAACTCCAAACTGTTCCGTTTATGAGCGGGTACCAGGCATCCCGCCGCTAAGGCGGCTGCCACCTTTTCCCCCTTCAGCGTTGGTGGACTGGATCCTGCAGAGAGTAACAGAACATACTATTGTGTGTTTTTTACTGCTTCCATACATTTCTGTTGGTCAAACCACAGTTGTGGATTCTGCACTGACCTGTGGGGGAATCCAGCCGTCCGTCTGTGATGAGGTCACTCCACAAACCTCCACAGGTTCCCTTTGGACTGAATGCTGTCTGGTGGCTGATCTCTCTGTCAGGCTAGTAATATGACAGAATACGGTTTATTCATTGAGAAAAAAAAAAGAAAATACATGAAGCTGCTGATAAAATAAAACCAAATGAAACCTGCTCTCGGGCTGCGATGCACAGGGTGTAAGGGTTTACTGTGGTGCAGTGATGTAGTAGGACTCCAGACACTGCCTCCCCATCCTTTTCCAGATGAAGTGGTTCATTCCAGTGTCCCCCGCTCTTGTCGTCCTTGTGTCCTGATCCGTTGACCATTGTAAACATGATGGAGACTTCTAAATCATAGTCATTTTTGTTTTCTATGTCCCACACAAACACCGCCACTGGGAGACTAGAATCCTAAAGGAGACGCAGATTGGGGAAACACAATATTTATACCTTACTATCCCCACAGTGAAGGTGAAAGGGTGTGTGGGAGTGTATTTCTTTGTTACACTAGAAATATATTTCATGAACCACCAGACAGATTTTAATGAAACTGTCACGCTCAGCGGCCCCCGCTGCCCCCCC